CAGTTCGTTGTATGTGTTTTGGAAGGCTTCTTCCAGTGAATGTACCTTTTGTGCGAAGTTACTTTTTTCCTTCTGGAAAGATTGCTCTTTTTCTCCTTCAACTTGGAGATGATTTTTTTATTCCTACTTTTTAACCGTTCGCATTCTTTAATGAATTTATTTTTCTCGTTGCTCAGATTTTGTATGACTTCCTTTTCCTTGCAGTAAAGTGTCTTGTGCTCCTCCAGTTTGTCTTCCACATCTTTGATATATTCTCTCAGTCTTTGTTCTTCCTGCTCCTTTTTTGATAGAAGATTCTCATTTTTGGAGCTCATTTCATCCAACATGCTTTTTAGCTTCTCATTTTCCCTCACGCAGTCTTCCATCTTGCGCTTGGTCTCTTCTAGCTCATTTTGCAACGTGTCTTTTTCGCCTTTCTGTGTGAGACTTTTCCCTTCCATTTGGTCCTTTTCTTCTTTCAATTTGGAGTGTTTCTCCTCCAATTTGGAGAACTCCTCCCTGAGTTTGATTACATCTTCCTTCAGTCTGGTTATCTCCCTCTCCTGTTCGTTTTTTTCCCTTTGGAGGGCTCCTATCTGGTCGTTAATTTTCCCATTTTCTGTGCTGAGCAGGTTGCATTTCTCCTGCAGTTGTGTCTTCTCATTTAGGAGCATGTCTCTCTCCTTTTTCATTTTTTCATTATCCATGCTTAACACCTTTTGGCTTTCGGCCAATTCTACCTTGCCGTTCATAATGCTCTTTTCGCTCTGCAGCAAATTTTCCACTTTGTAATGTAAGTCTTTGTTTTCCCTCCCGAGTTGCTCCACTTGGTTGATTAGATTTTCGTTTTTTTTTCTCTCCTTTTGATAATTGCTCTCTACTTCTTTCCTCCTCTCCTCATCCACCTCTCTCTGGTACAGCACTTTCTTCATTTTGCTATCCATTTGGTCTAACTGATCAGAGTAGCTCCTAACATCCTCCTGAAGTGTTTTAATTTTACTCTCCTTTTCTATGATTAGCTCTTGTTGGGTCTTCAGTTTCGCCTTAACATGTTCCACTCGCTCGATGTTCTGCCTTAACATGTCATCGATGTCGCTTTTGTACTGCTTCAGAATGGTCTCATTAAAGGTGACGATTTTCTCCTTTTCCTTAATGAGCTCCTTTAGCATATAAATTTCGGAGTCCTTTTTTTTTAGAAATAGAACATACTCATTCATTTTATTTTCGAATTGGATCTTACTCATGGCAAACTGCTCATTCATATATTTTACTACTTCTTCAAATCTTGCCAACTTCTTCTCCTTACTTGTGCATGTGTCTTTTAACTTTTTGAAGTCCATTATCATGTGATCGATTTTCTTTTCGTATTCTCTAATTAGTGTTAATTTTGTTTTATATTTTTCTCTATTTTTGTGAAATGTCTTTTCCATTTTTTTGTATCTGTTCATTTCTCTTTGTAGACTTTTGACTTCCCTTTTGAGTCGGCTGTTCCTTTCAGCGAAGAGGTCTACTTCGACCAGTTGTGCTTCGGGCGTCGCCTCGGGCGTCGCCTTGGCCGTTACCTCTCCGCGGGGGCTCCTCTTACGCGCCCTTGCGCGGGGAAGCTCCTTCGAGGGGTTCGAATTGGCGCAGTCATCTGAAGCGGCCGCATTGTCCACATGATCTCCATCCACGGCGTCGTCCTCTTCAACGTCCACGTCTTCTTTTTCTTCGTCCCCTTCAACGTCAACTTCAACTTGTGCTTCTTCTGCTTCTTTTGCTTCTTCCTCCCCTTTCCGCCCCCCCTCTGCAGTGTACACCTGCTCCCCCCGTGGCTGCGCCGCTTCACCTCCAACCTCTTCATCGCTCTGAATCACCTCCTGTCGAAGCAGGCTCTTCAAATTATGCAATTTGCTCAGATAGTGATCAAACTCGAAGTGGTTATAATCCTCCTCATCACTGTCATTGGAATTTATTATGTTCCTCACTTCTTCTGAGAGGTCCCCATATGGGGGGTTCTCCCCCCCCTTGGTGCTCTCCTCCTGGCTCGGCAAGTTAGCCTTCGTCCAAGTGCCTCCATTCTGCACTGCACCGTGTGCGTCAAAATTGGCTTCATTCCTCTGGTTATCTCCTCCCTTATTGTTTAAGTTACCGATGTTTTGCTTAAGCAATTTTTTCCTTCTTATCTTCTCCTCGCGTTCGACTTTGTCTTTGCTAGATGGCACACCCGACTCGGTTGCGCTGTTACATTCGTGCAGTTCAACTCTCTCCTTGTTGTTCTTTCCTCCGTTTGGGATGGATTCCATTTTTGTCGTCTCCCCGTTCGGTTCGCAATCTTCGGCTGCAAGGGCTTCTCCAGAGCGGTTGGTCACAAAAATGGAGGCACTCTCTCCCCCGTCACCGCTAACCTGTTCTCCGCCACTGGGACGGTCCCCACTACTAACCCTCTGTCCATTACTGGGAACACTCCTATCGTCACCGTCTACGTCTTCGTTACCATCCCCTCCGACACCCGCACTGTCGCAATGCTCAGAATATGTTTTTCCTTTTTTTCCGCTCCTTTTTTTCTTCTTTTTTTTTTTAACTTTATTTGGAGTGCTCATCTTGTGGTTTGCGTCCTCACCGTCGACCGCGTCAGACATGTGCTTGTCATCATGCGACATTTCACCCACGACGTGGTCTGTGCCACCCTTCTCTTCTTCCCCTCCTACTTCCCCCTCGTGGGGATTATCAGCGCGTTCCTTTTCCTTACTCTGATAATTTTCCTCTTCCCCTGTGTTCATGTATGCCTTTGACTGCGTCGCCTCCCCCACGTTTTCGGCCTCTCCCCCCTCTTCAACATCGCTTAGCGAGAAGTTGTACCTCCTGTACTGCTCCTTTATCTTCCGCAGATCTAGGTACTCGTGCGCGTTGCTATCACTAGCGTCATCGCCCTCCGCAGCAGAGGCAGATGCTTCATCATTGATGGCAGCCTCAACATTGGTAGCACCCTCACCAGTAGGGCCCTTAAAAACATAGTCGCTCTCCAAAAAAGGGGCGTTCCTCTCCTGAACAAGTGGGTCCATTATACTCTTTCCCGTCTCTTCATCTTCCGCATCATCATCAAATGGTTCGTAAAGTGCATCATTATCGAAATTGGCTGTATCATCAAAATTATAATTTTTTAAATTCTGCAGCACGTCTAATATGTTTTTTATTTCGTTGTCGTCTTCGCTGTCTGCCTGTTTATCCTTCTGTTCGGGTGGCTTCATTCCCCGGAGTTCCTCCTCCTGGTCACTCTCTACGAAATGGGAGCTGCGTGCGCAGTTGGCGGTGTCCTTCGCAGTGTTCGAGTCGGCACCTGACAAAGCAGCATCGACCAAATCGGCATCCTCCAACCCTCCATCCGTGCACATAGCACACGCAGCGTACACAGAATACACGGCGTCACCACCACTGCATTCGCGATCTTGTTCGGTTCTTCCCGCCGGGGGTACCTCCTCAGGAAAGCCCACACCCATGTGCATAATATCGTCTTCCCCCCAAATTGAGCTCTGCTTCTGATCAGCCTCTCTTGTCATGCCTCCCCGTCTTTGCCTCTGATATGCAGTCTCAGGTAGCAGAGTGGAAGAACGAAGTTGTCCTTCATTCTCCTTCTCTACTGGATCTGATTCTTCATTCAGATCTATGTCGTTCAGGTAACTTTCTCCTTGATCACTTTTCCTTAGTTTGGAATGGCTATACGGTGGATCTTCCACATTGCTACTCCACTGTGGAGCTTCAAAACGGTTCATCCCTCTCCCATTGGCATAGGAGTGGACTTCAGTCCTACGGTTGGCATCGCCAACCACATTCGCTGATTCACTATGCATGATGGCTGCTTCACTAGGAATGCTCGCTGCATCACCAGCTACACTGGCTGCATCACCAGGAACACTGGCTTCATTTTCCTGTGTATCCTTAAAGTAACGTAACCGCGCCCCCTTTTTTTTTGCTTCATCACCTGGCTTAGACAAACCTTTTCCTCTCCTGCTCTCCTTAATTTTATACACACACCCAATTTTTTTCTCCATTTTGTTGTGAGGAATTCGCCTTGCCGGGTAGGTTCATATTTGTGTAGCTCCCATGTTAGTTCTCTTTCGTAGTAGCAGGTGCTACAACGGTTTGTATACTCACTGGACGAAGCGACGCCGACGCGGGGGCCCCTTCCGATCGGATAATTTCACGCGAGAGCAACCAGAAGTTCAGTTATTCTTGTCCACGCCTGAGGAAATCCTTCCTCTGTGCGCGTTTCGTCGACGGTGCCTCGTCCGGATTTGCTTTTCCCCGCTTCTCCCCTTCGGCACGCCCCACCAATGCATAAAATCTGCGCAATTCTTTGGGGCGCGAAGAGGGTTGTGGACTCCGCGCTTGGCACAAAATGGCGTTGCCTTGAAGCAGCAGGGGGCAATGCACACTAAAAAAAGCGTATACATAAGCAGGCACTCATACACAGGCGCAGACGTATATATATATATATACATATGCATATGCTACACATCCAAGGGAACATATCGCCGCTTGGCACAGAAAACGCGCTAGTCCTGAAACGAAAAAAAGAAAGAAAAAAAAAGAGAATTCTCTGCCTGTGGAAAGCTTTCCTCTTCTTTGGGGCTTCGGAGAATCGAATAACACGTACATTTCGAACATTGCACTTTTTATTTTTTTTTTTTTTTTCCTTTTCTTGCGTTTATAATTTGAAAGGTCGTTTTATGCAATTAGGGAACGGCCCCTTTAACCATTCTGACTTCTTATTGTATGCTTATTTTGTCACGCTTATTTTGTTATTTTATTTTATCTTATTTTATTTTTTTGTGCACATATTATTACATTCATGTCCCTAGTTTTGTGTGTGTTACAAAAGTGGTTTGACTTTCCAGGTGTGGGAAATTAGCGGAGAATGGATGGAAGTTTTCTCCCAACGTGGCAGAGGGGAGAACGCAAAACATGTCAAGTGCGCGCCGCGTATGATTTGATGTAACGCAATTTATCACAACTTAGTTCCGTTTAACTTAGTTCACTTTAACTCAGTTTAGCTTATTTTATTTTTTTTTTTTTTTTTCTACACATCGGAAAGATTAAGTGACCACATCATGGAGGCCAGGAGAACCCCCCCGCAGCGCACCCCTCCACGGGGAGTTTCCCACTTTCAACTCCAAAGAGGCGACCCGAAAATGCGTTATCATTTCAATCGATTGGGAAACTGTCTTATCAAACGGGGAATAGGAGAGAGAAAGAGAAAATTTATTTACATAGGCACCAATGTAGTACCGATGTAGTATCAATGTAGGACCAATGTAGTACCGATGCAGTACCAATGAAATACCAATGTAATACCAATGTAGTACCAATTTCGTAACCTCCATTTTGCCGCCAATTTGTTCGTCTCAAATGGCGGAAAGCGACGAGGGGGATCTCCACCAGAAGGGGCTAAAAAATCTGGTATACTGCACATCTGCACATGCCTGCAGGAAAAGTTTTGTCACTGCTTTTCCTTTAAGAGGCGCATCTTAGCCTGCACAAGACAGATGCATAGTCTCCACCCTCCAGCATAAAAGTGTAGTTTCCGCTTGGATAAAAAAATGAGGACTTCCTAGGTAAGTACTTTCACGGACCGTTACAACAAACCCCGTTACAGCAAATCACGTTACAACAATTTCAGCTACAGCAATTTCCGCTATAACAATCCCGGTTACTATTTCGTGGGGGGCATCCACAACGGCATGCAGCTCACGCGCTTATGCCTTGGGGAAGGGGAAAATTCCACCATAAGTTATAACACGAAAATGCACATGTAAGGGTCTATACCTACATTATGTGAACATGCTTCTCCCCATAGCGTATCTGGACGAATTAACGCATATTCTCCCACTTTTTGGTAGACCCTTCTGTTGTCTGCCCTAAACGACAGAGTGGTTCATCATAAAGGGAATCTTGCCGCTTCGTCCTTTCCCTGTTCCCCATGCCATTTTTTTTTTTGTTTTGTTTTTTCTTTGTTTTCTCTCCCCCATCTGGTAAGAATTAGCCCTACATTTGTCCCTTCCCCATTTGAAGGCTGTCTATTTTGAAAATTCGTTTCTCACCCTTCACTATTTATCCAATATGTTGCCGGCGGCTTCATTTGGCTCAAAGATCACGTGAAAATAAAGGCAGTTCCGAGACTGTGTTCCACATCTGCGCTGCTCACATGTTTGCATGTTGCCACGAGAAACAATATATGGCAGTGTTCCTTCCTCTGCGCGCATGTGTGTATACGCACTGGAGGAGGTGCGCCTAATGGGGGACGCCAATTGATCATCTCACTCGCGGAAAAAAGTACGAAAGTTGTGACTATCGCGAAGGTGATGAAAGGGGGATATACCCAAGCATTCCGTTAATGCGAATCATTCGACGCGCCTGTTGCATTGCCACCATCGCATCCGTTCCGACGTGGGGGAAAAGTGAACACGCTTAAGACGACCGTACGATGAGAAACGCAGCGAAGCAATTTTAAGTGGTCCAAATGGCACTCCGCGTAGGCCAGACGAAAGCGGTGTACACACAAAAAAAGATGAAGATGAGCAAGCAGAAGAAAAAAAAAACAACGAGTGGCATGACAAAACGAAGTCACCTCAGCGAAAGAGAAAAAAAAAAATTCGCCCCAATAACACAGTGCCACATATATTGAAGAACGCAAAAAAAAAAAGAAAAAAATGCATACTTGTCCGAAAGAAACAAAACATCGCATACATTTATTACCTACGCGTTATGTCATAATTGTACGTGCGGGTATAGAACTATTTATGTGCCTGTGAGGAGGATACACGTTCTCCGCGCCGCCTCGCGAGTTCTCCAAAAATGATG